AAAGTGTAAGAAAATTTTCAACTTTAATTTTTTTTAAATATTTATTTTCAAGAAATATATATATACTTTAATTTTTGGTGACAAAGGTCTAGGTCAAGTTTGAACTCCAACCATTGAGTAGAGCGTGTAAAATAACTTGTCAATTCTTAAAGCAATAAGTTATTTTTGTTATATTTTAAATTTTTTTCTAAAAATTTTATGACAACCAAATATATAAAATAAAATAAAAAAAATTTTAAAAAATACAATTGGAATTTTGTATCTTGGGGTAATAGTGATGTTACAAATGGAATTTTGCATCATGATCTGGGTCGAAATTGTAACTGTAAACTTGTAAAGTGACTTTCAACCTAAGTTATACAATTTTTCTTAATAGGTGTTGCTCTTCGCACTCCCACTCTCAAACTCTGCGCACTTTCACTCAAATTCTCCATTTTTTTTTTTTTTTTGTGACTTAGCTTTCAACTCCACTTTAATTTATGAAAATAAAAAAGGGATAAAGTACAGTTACACCTCCTGAGGTTTGGCAAAAGGACACCCAGAGGAAACTTACCTGTTTTTTGGACAAAGATATCCCTTGAAAGTTAAAAAATAGACAAAGACACCCTTTTACATGAAAAATTAACCAAATTACCCTCTGACCGTTTAGGAGACTTTTTAACTTTACAATTTAATAAATTCAACCAATCTACCCCATGAATAATTTATGCATAAAAAAAAGTAAAAAAAAAAAAAAAGACTTTATATTGTCCACTTTTTTATTTTTTTATTTTTTATTTATTTACTTTATAAATGTCCCAACTTCTTAAAAATATAGACGTCTAAAATGATTTTTTGATTCAATACATATATTTCAAATAAATTATATTTTATTATTACTTCTTTTCTTTTTATTTTTTATTTTTAAATTAAGATGCTTAATTCTTTCATCTAAAAAAATTAAACCAATTTATTTTCCTTAAAAATAAAAAATATGGTACCAGTATAACTTTATGTATCTTAAATTATATATCAAATATTATGCATTTCCCAACATAAAAGAGGAAAATAATAATAATAATAATTAAAAGGAAATAAAATGCATGAAGTTTTTTTTTTTGGGTAAATAAAATGTATAAAGTTATACTGGTACCATATTTTTTATTTTTAAGGAAAAGAGATTGGTTTAATTATTTTAGATGAAAGAATTAAGCATCTTAATTTAAAAATAAAAAAGAAAAAGAAAAGAAGTACTAACAAAATATAATTTATTTGAAATATATGTATTAGATCAAAAAATTATTTTAGACCGTCTACATTTTTAAGAAATTGGGACATTTATAAAGTAAATAACAAAAAACAAAGTGAACAATATAAAGTTTTTTTTTTTTTTTTTTTTTTGTTTTTTTGTTATGCATAAATTGTTCATAAGGGTAAATTGATCCAATTTATTAAATTGTAAAGTTAAAAAAGTCTCCTAAACAGTCAAATGGTAATTTAGTCAATTTTTCATGTATAAATGGGTGTCTTTATCCATTTTTGGGGTGTCTTTGTCTAAAAAACAATAAGTTTTATTTAAGTGTCCGTTTTTCAAACCTCATGGTGTCACTGTACTTTACCCTAAAAAAAAAAAAAAAAACAACGGAATTTGTGAAATGAATATTTCATCGATTTTCATTTCATTGCGTAGCATTTCAAGGATTATATCATCAAATTGACATGGGTTTTTTTTTGTAATTTTTACCCTTCACGAAACTTAGAGCAACGCGAACTCCTGCCGTCGCTCAATCTCAAACTCGCGACAGCTCCGGCGAAACCGTCAGGACAAAGTGACAAACTCCCACCACCACCATCGGCATCAATCGCCGGCGAATTTCGGTAATGGTTCTAGAGAGAGAAACTGGAGCGAGAGAGGGAAGAAATGTTTATCTGTTGATGGAAGAAGAAACGGCGAGTTTGGAGGGAGAAAATGTGATCGAACGATAATGATGATGATTAAACCCTTCGCATACAGATGAAGAAAGTTAGTGATGAAGAGCATCTATACAAATCACTAGATTCTCAATGTAAGTTTCGAATTCAATTTACGGTTTCGATCAATCTAGTATAGTATCATTGCACGAACTTCACACAATTTTCAGTATTCTGGGTTCTGTTACAGACTAAAGCACTGTTCCGTTTTCGCTTCAAAACAGCTTATATGTTATCTGTGACTTACTTTGATCATTCCTTTCAACGCGAGTCTTTGATGCAAGTTGATTTTTTTTTTTTTTTTCATTGATTTGCAAAAAGTCTTCACCGGTTTGAATTTTGTGATTTTATTGTTTGAATTAATATCAGGTGTTATGATTTCATCATAATCGAATTTGAATAATTGATTATAATGCAAGTGTCAAGTCTGAATGAGTCTACATTGAGTTGAATTGTAAGAAAGATGGATTGGTTTGATGTAGAATCATTTAAAATTGATTGCACAATGTATTGTCCTTGAGACTGATTTTTTTTTTTTTTTTGTGGGGAGAAAGTCATTTCAGAAATGCAAAATGCGTTTGTGGGTCGAAGACAGGCTTTGGATGCAGTGCTAATTGCAATTTAATGTGTAAAATTTAGAATCATAAGTTAAAAGCCAAGGTTGTTCTGCAAACTTGATGTTAAGAGGGAATATTATCATGCGATTTGGGGGTTCTTGCTGCATAAGCTTGAGTGAATGGCCTTTGGGTTGAAAAGGAGGCAATGGATAGAGAAATTCATCTGTAAGTTTGACAGGCTTGAGGCAGGGGATTTCCTTTCTACTCTCTTGTTCCTTCTGCGGTGGAGGCTTTAAGTACACTGATGAGTACAGTGGTTCGGGGTTTAATTATTGTGTGGGTTCGTGTTCACTACAGGAGATCGGGAGGAAGATGCCATTCTTGTCTCTCATTTTTATTCATGAATGAAATGATGGTCTATTGTGAACGAGGAGCAATGGAAATTTAGATACTTGAGATGTGTGCTCTTGTGCTTTGAGGTTAGGCTTAGAGTTGCAAATGAATTGAGCTATCATGAATAGCTCGAGCTTGTTTGTTATGTAAATTAGTTGATCTTGTTTAATAAAGCGGACAGCCCAGACACCTTTTGGCTTGTTATTGTAGATAGTGGTGTATAAAGAGGTTTTGCTATTGGAGGTTGTACTTTCCCCATAGAATGGAGTGGTTTGTATCCCAAATCTCTGTAAAGCCTTTTAAGGCTGGGACCTAGCATTGATGGTACCTGTGTTTGAGATGGCTTAGGGGATTTAGGCGAGAGAAGTGGTGAATGACTTTGAGATGGTAGTTTTAGGTTGGGGCCTTCTGTGTTGGATCATTTTATTGGGTGCTTTGTAAAGGAAGTTAGGGTGTCCTCGTTACATGCTGTCCTTGCGATAAAAAAATTCAATTAGTGAGGTCATTGAGTGGGCATTTGATATTGCATGTGCAAAGTAGCGTAGCTGACAATCATATTTGGAATCTGACAATCATCTTTTGCCACATTACACGTGTAGTGAGGGATCTTAGGTGCCTTTTCATCTTTGTTTACTGTTTTACGGATTTTGCCAAGGTTGGGGTTTGATATGTCGCATTGTCAGAAAAGGGGTTTCTTTGAGGAGAGGGGGTTCTGTGCCTATTGTTGTGTATATAGACGGAAAGGATGGTACTTTTATTTCCTGGTGGTCTCTCTCTGTGTTGATTTTTTGGGTCATATGATTCTTCGATCATTTGGAAAGAATACTGCCATTTTTTTTCCAACTATACCTTCAAAGTTCTCAGGACTTTGTGAATTTTACAGCTCATCTAAGGTACTGCCTCAGTGAGATTGATCTTGCCCAACAATCTATGCCGATCTTGGTGAAACTGCCTCTAGTTAACTAGATGCTGGAGCCAATGATTCTTTTGAGCAAGAGCTTACCAGAACCTGGATAACAGCCTGGACCAAATCTCTGACAATTATGTGCCAAATCATGAACACATGCATTCCTTGTGTTTTTTAGCAAGTTCCGTGCAGAAAATACCTCTGGAAGGCCAAAATCATATTGGGGCTTTATTCCAAGTCACATATGCTCCTATTTTTAACTAATTTTAACGAAAATCTGATAGTACTGGCATAGCCTCTAAGGAAACTTGAAACAAGATATGATGCATGAACGGAATGCTCTCAACACAGCTTCAGTGGCTATCTTGTTAAGTGGGGGGAATGACTGATGTTCCCTATATCCTGGGTGTTGTTCGTATTGACCTCTTGGTACACTAGCCCGCATAAGTTGATGCCATTACACATGAACAGCTAGACTTGAGGATCTAAGTCACTGAGTTATATTGGTAAAAAGTATGTTATAAAAGACAAACTGATTTTCCTTTGCTGATAGAATGGTCAGGTTGTTGAAAGGTTATAGCATCAACATTTATGTGTATAAGGTTTTGATCTTTTCAGGTTAAATCTTTGCAATTTTCTATCTCAATTGTTTCATTTATTTCATCAGCACATTTTTATGAGGAGCTAAATGCCATTGGTTGGTTAAATGATATAAGCTTGGTCATTTTCAGTTAAGGGATTGAGAATTGTGCAAATGACGCCAAAGTTAGATCTGTATCCAGTTCACCGTTCCTCATGTCTCCCATTGACGGTTTATTTTATCTATGAGGACCTAGTGACCATCCTAGGACTTGCATAAATTTAAGATAGCCAATCCTGAGGTGGCACGGAGGATTTTGCTTAGTTGACAACTGGGATAAAATACTTGGTCAAATTCTTTCAATCCATATTTTTGGCATTTCAGAAAACAATTCATTTTGTCATTTTGAATTTGTCTTACATTCCACATTCCCCAAACGGATCCTATCAAATATTTCACATTTTCTATAATGATCTATATTTCAGACATTTGTGGAATCCTCCTTAATAGGCGAAATATTCCTTTTATGTCACATATTTGGGTTGTCAATTTTTAATGTGAATTTCTATTACAAGATCTGAAAATGCAGATAACATAATGAGGATTGGATTTGTAGGAAAGAGGTAGCTTTATTGCCTTTTGGTATGCAGCTCTCAAAAGTACATGAATTGGCCAGAGACAACAGTGAGAGCTGACTCATTTACATTTGAACACCCGACAAGAACATGTTAATCCTATAGCTAGCAATAGAACCAACAATAGGAATATCTCAATGAACCTTAGATCAAAACCCACCTATCCATACAACTATCATAGACTATTTAGTGGACCAGGTGTTGTTGAATTGGTTATAGAAAAGTTTAAGAGTTCAACAGAAAAAGCGTTCCTCTTACTCTCACACAAACACCTACTTTCTTCAAACAGGGTCTGAACAAAGCCTTTGTAGCAGACTCATCCCCCCTCTTATTTATTATCTGGCACTGTAAGCTGGTACATGTTCCATGTTTGATGTCACACATCAAACGCGCAACTCGCCTTTCTCATAGTTTTCTCCTTGTTTCCCTTCAAGCTTGATATTCTTGTACCACCTAGCACAAGCAATGTAGACAACTAAATCTAAAGTAGTCAAACTGGCCAAGAGGAAGTAAAATCTATCTAGGTGTCCCCTGTTCAGATTTCCTGGTATCCATCCCGACATGTTGTCTATGGTTGAGATTTTCATAACCATGCTCACGAGCAAGCTACTCACATAGTTCCCGAGCGAAATTGATGTCATGCAAAGTGCACTTCCAAAGCTCTTCAGTCCGTCAGGTGCTTGTGCATTGAAGAACTCCAGTTGGCCGACGTACATGAAAACTTCAGAAGCTCCAATCAGGACATACTGAGGCACTTGCCAGAAGATGCTCAATGAGCTTGAACCTTCACAATGTAAGCAATCTTTTTGAGCATACTTGAGTCTGTAGCACTCCACAATTCCGGCCGAAAGCATTGCTATTATTGCTATAACGAGTCCGATTCCCATCCTTTGAAGCTCGGTAAGCCCTTTAGACTTTATTTTGCTTACCAGTGGATCGAGTACTCGCCGGTAAAGGAAAATGAAAAATGCTACACTGAGGATGTCGAAGCTAGACATGCTTGCTGGTGGAATTAGGAAGTCTGAAATTTTACTTTTCATGGCTGCACCTTGCTCGACGAACAGTGATGCCATTTGGGTAAAGACAACTGAGTAAATTATAGTGCATAGCCAAATTGGTAGTAGTCTCAATATGCATTTCACCTCTTCAACTTGTGAAATAGGGCAGAGACGCCACGGGTTATGAGGGCCCTGCTTCTGGTCTGTGAATTCCCTTGATGTAATAAATGCCGCTCGATCCAGGAATCTAAGACATCGACATGAAAATAAATTAGTTGTATATAAAAATGATCATACTTTTGGCATTTAAATGTTATTGTTTGGGATTTTATTGGATCATGGTAGGGTTTATGTCGAATAAATCTATGATCATGCTCATACACTTACTTGAACCCATGGGTATAAAGTATCTTTCTAGCACCATACATGGAACTCTCCTTTTCGTTGGCTACATAAAGATTCTCTTCGCCTGGTTGCATCTCAACCCTCCATTTCTTTGCTGCAGCGACCATCACTTGGCAAAACCTGGAAAGTGGGTTGCCACTCGGCTTGAAATGCCTGTACTTTGGCGTTCCACCAAGAAACAAGACTAGTGCTGCAAAGGCAGATGCCGTTGACGCCCAAAACCCTACTGCCCAGATCCCTTCATCCTCAAAGTAGCCTAATATGGTGTTGGAGAAGAGAGAGCCGAGGTTCAAAGCCAGGTAGAAGTAGCTGAAAAAGGCAACCTTTGACCTTCCCTCCTTATGGTCCTCTTCATCAAACTGGTCAGCTCCAAATGTAGCAATATTAGGCTGGTACCCTCCATTTCCTAGAGCAATCAAGTAGATTGAGAGATAGAACAACCAAATCTCCCAGCTTGAATGTGACCCACATTCAGTTGTTCGAGTGCCACAACCTCTAGTATTGATCAAGAAGTGAGATGCTATAGATAATGCTACCAACCCCTGAAACCAAATCCAGAAAATGACAATTAGTTCGAAGAACCAAGTCCATTAACCAATTTCTATCCATAGCTTCTGTCTCCGGTTTATCAGCAGGAGGTTGTGATTTTGTCATGAATATGAGTAGGTTTTCGTATTTGAATTCTGATACTTCTTACAAAATTTTTACTTGGTTTAATGACAGCTTTACTTTGGTGCCAAATTGTCATGAAACAGAAGTGTTCAATTATGGGTTACTTACTATTACGAAGATGACTTGAAAGATGGCACAAGTTTTGTATCTTCCCCAGTACGAGTCACTGAGGAAAGCGCCCACGAGAGAGAAGATGTAGACAGTTCCGGTCCATTTGCTAACGTTGTTAGCAGCATCGGCATTGCTCTGTTGCAAGACCCGTGTCAGGAACAGTACCAGGTTCACTCCAACTCCAAAGAAAGCCAGAGTAGCCAGACCTTGGTTTACTGAAAGATTCAACAAGCAAAACAGAGGGTGCATAGAAAGTAAGTGTCTTGATATGTTGAGGGCTTTGATCTATAAGTGTGTCAGCAGAAAATAGAAAGTCCCAAGACGTATATTGAAGTGTTCGAGAAAATTTCAAAAGAGTAATGATAGGGAGTTCGACTGTCGCACAAATCGGATTAATTTTATGTGAGTAGTGGTTGATGTCATCATGACATTAGGGTTATTAACGACAACATGACGACATCGGTCCCCATTCACATAAATCAGTCCGAGTTGTCGGACCTTTCGGACTCCAAATCATTATCCATTTCAGAAAGATGGATGGTTGGAACAGGTATTGATCCAATGAAAGTGATGTTTAACAGCTAGAATTAATCAGTCATGATCAAAATGATCTCATAATAAATGGACTTGATTTGATATCTAGCTATCAATAATATGCATCAATTCCATGTGAAACATTAGATATAGAGATTATATAAAGCAAGCACATGGATTCTTTTCCACTAGTGGAATTCATGTCATAATCAGATTGATTTTTCAAAGATAGTATAATCAGATTGATCTTGGTGATTTGTGAGATTTTCTCTTCTTTTTCCTCCTCCATTAATTTTGTCCGAATAATTTTCTTGTCTTTAGCCAACATATTCCTGCTAACCAATCACGTCTTAATGTTGATAAAAAAGGACTGTTTTGCTCCAACTTTCTAAGTTGGTTTTTGATTAACTTATAATGGTAAAGATGGGTTATTCAGAGTAAGATACAAAACAAATTCTGAAAATTTCTCCAAATCGTTAGGACAAGGTTTGGTGCTGTTTGGTGCTGTTTGGTGCATGTGAAAGTTGATGAGAAAGAGGATAAATCACATGGCATGAGAACGTTAGGAACTTAGGTCATCATAAATTTGAACTGAAAAAAGAAAATCAATTTATGGAAGAAAAACAAGAAAGTAAATCTTGATATAATTGGGTGAGATCACAAATTTTTTTTATATATCTATCAATCCAAAGTTTACCCTAAGTATTTAGGGCTACAAACAAATCGAGATAAAACAAGTTGATTTAAAACTTATTTGAACTTGGCTAGAGATCAAATCAAGATCATATTTAGAATTTGATTTCACCTTATGTTTTTTAGTAGTGTTACGTATAGCCAAAACACAAAGTAATCTCATGATCTATATAAATACATATATAAAAATTTACGATCGTTTAATTTTAAAAGTTGGAATTTAGGGTTCACTCCAAAAGACTCCTTAATCATTGACCATGATTTAATTACAATTTTTATTAATAATAAAAAATTAAACAAATTCAATTAATTTTATATGAGTAAGAGTTCCTTAATCATTGACCATGATTCAATTACAATTTTTATTAATAATAAAAAATCAAACAAATTCAATTAATTTTATATAAGTAAGAATTATAATATTGTGATGACATTAGTTTTCATCTCAGGTAAATTAATCAAAATTGTTTGAACCAAAATCATTAACTTTTTTTTATGGTACTTTTATTTTCAAAAATCAAAACCAAAGGAGTAGGAGTACAATAGATTTCATGCTCACAATCATAGTTAGAAATAATAATAATCCCAAAAAAAGAAAAGAAAAAAAGAAGAAGCAGTAATTGTTAAAGATGAAACATGTAACTTCCCGCAAAAAATAAAATAAAATAATATAAAACGTGTAACGTCATGCAACCCATTCTGATTCACTGATTACGTGTCTGGCATCTCATACTCTAAATGCATGCTTTTCTTGCCCCCATACTCCTCGTTCCTCCCCACATCGTGTGCCTCGCGTTTTTGGTGCTAAAATCCAAAATGACTCTCTCTCTCTCTCTCTCTCACACACACACACACACACACACTCTCTCTCTCTCTCTCCGGACTCCACCGTAACACTCTAGTTCTAACACTGCGATAGTTTTGTTAGTTTTGTCTGCCAAATATGAAAAATGTTACGCCTTCTCTATACCACATTGTCGTACTATTGGATACATAAATTTAGGAAATGTTCACACAAAATAGAAAAATATATAGTATATACAAAATATTTCTCTATTAAAGTTATATACACGTGTTAGTTGTTGCTTAAATTTTGGGGTGCGTTAAAGCTAAGCTGAAGCAGAAAAGACCCATCAGTTGAAGTAGGCTGGACCCTTTTTTTTAAGCTCTCTTGAAAGTGTTTGTGTACAAATTCGTGAATTATACTAAATACACACACACACACATATATATAATCAATAAATTCAATTGATTTTGGAGGTTATTCAGGAATTGTTTTAAAGAATCTCATAAAATAATTGAACTGATTATAGACAAAAGTATAGCAAACAATATATACCATATAGATATACAGAGTATCGTATCTTCTTAAAGAATTTCTAGAGATAAGCAGCTTACAATATCGAGTTCTTATATATACATGTATGCGTGTGTGTGTCTTATATAATCACTTATTTTTTAGCTCAGATGATATGATAGTCTCTTTTTCTCAAAGGAGGTTGAGAGTTCGAGTCCATTAGAACATGTTGTGAGTAATAAGTGTGTGTTTGTTTTAACTTTCGAGGAAAAAAAAATGACTTACAAAGTATCACAGTTCCGGCAGCCCACTGGCCAGTTTTTTCTCGGATTGCGGGACGGCCATGCATGTCAACAGTTCCATCAAGAGTTGATGATTCTTGTTCCTCTTTCAGCTTACACTGAAAGCAATTAAGAACAATATTCAATTAGTTTGTAAATTCAAAAAAAAAGAAGGAAAAAAAAAAGAAAATTTTTTAAAAAAACAAGATTTATAAATATTATATGCTCAAATGTATGCATCAATCTCTTTGCATGCATGAGCAGCAAAATTAGCATAAATATGCTTGCAATGGCACACATGCACACAGAGAGAGAGAGAGAGAGAAAGAGAGAGAGAGAGAGAGAGAGAGAGAAGAAGAAGAAGAAGAGAAATGGGCGTTTTTTTTTTTTTTTTTTTTGGCCTTGACAATTCTTTTTAGAGTAAGAGTAGAGAAGAAATGGGAAATGATGATAACTAACCTCTTTGGAAACCTCTAAGCAAGCCATTGATGATTGGAAATTGGTAGAGAGCTGAAACAATGGTGGAAGAGGACAGAGAAGTTGATGGAGGGTGAAGGACAAAAGAAGGGAAAGGAATTGGGATAAAACAAAGAGAAAGGGGAGAGGTGTATATATAGTGGTATGGACGGCGCAGATGAATTTAACAAGAAATATTTGAGACCCCATTAGATGGCCAAATCATATATCCATGATGTGACTGTTTCAGATGCAAAATGTTTGAACTACTTTAATAGGGATGGGAAAGATTATTTTTTTTTCTTCTGTGAATTGTTGTGAGCCTATGTATGTGAGGTCCCTCCTAGAATCCACATTTTGCATTGGTTTGATTTTGACACATGATACAATCCCTCTTATTGTTCAAAAACAATTGAATCCTTGATTTGACATTTTAGTCCCTAAATTTATTTTTAGAGTAAATTATACTATCCCGGAGTTTGGACAAAGTACACACGGACGTTTATTGTTTAACATCCCCTAAATATGTCATCGACTGCCGAAAAGTGACTTTGAGTATAAAAGTTAGCAATGTCCTTATATTATAATAACATATTATATTGTAATACATAAGACGCTTATTGGCAATTAATACAATAGAAGGCAAAATTATCATTTTATAAAATTTGGTCAATAAGTCTGCCGGAAAGAAAATATTAGAGGTATTGTTAAACACACGTGTCAAATCTCAGGAGTGGTCGGTCAGAGTGATATAAACGATCTAGCCATGTGTAATTTTCTAATCATCATAGTAGGTTAGTGTGATTTACCGATATTTTAAATATTGTTGCTGATAAATCTAATTAATTTTTAATTTTCATTATTTCCTCTAAAACACCATGCCAAAACAATTTATTTGTGCTGCAATAATACATCTATTTTGGTAGTATGTAATCTTATTTCTTTTGTCTCTTTACCAGTCTCGGAACTTTTGACCCGTGATTTAGAAGTTAAAACTCAAAGTCACTAAGACAAAGGTAGATCAGTGATAATCTATAATCTATTCATGTAAATATAAAAATAGTATTACTATCTTTTATTTTTCTGTGGATTACATATATATATATATATATATATACATGTATTCACAAAAGAAGAAAAGGGCAAACAAAATTAGCCTAATTTGCATGAGAGAGAATATATGGATATATATATACCGGTGCTAAAGAAGAAAAGGACATCAATAATGGTATCAAATATATTTCAAGTACCTTGTAACGTATTCATTGAACACAAGATATGGAGTATATATGTATTGGCCTACTAACTACCTCCTGGGACATAGTATGCACTAACCTCCAATAATGATACTAACATTATATTTCTTCAATTATTTGGTACAATTTCAAGAATCTTGTTCAGTCACTTTTATTCTTTAGATAATTACTTTTAAAACATGATTTTAAGGTTTTCTAGTTAAGTTTAATGGTGGTTAATAGCATGCTTTTTACATATGTTCTTTAATTTTGGTGAAGGTGAAGAGAATGGTTTTGGAAGTATCAACTAGGTATAATCTCTCATATAGGAATAAGTAGTTGATATATTCTACCAACAATTGCAGTTATCTTATAGAATAAATGTGTTAATTATTTCATCTTTGTCTTTGTTTTGCATCTTTGATCTTATGACTTTACTTCTCAATTATTAGGGATTATATTCCCTATTATGCCCATTTGATTTGATTACTCAAATGTCACAATTTTCTCCCCTTAGCAGAAACATTGCATGCTAAAGATTTCTTTTTCTAGTGAAATGTTGAATTCCAAGCAAATAATGCACTTCTTTTGTAGGCTTTATACCTCAAGTTGCTAAAATTTTGTTCCAGACATTCCGACAAGCTATAGTACAATTATTTCTAATAATGTAACAAAAAAAGTGCATGTTATTCCCAGCCATGAAAATTGTATTTTCTCTCTAATTTGTTTTTCCTTGGCAAACTAGAGGCAGAAAGGACTTGAATATGGACGCAACCGCTCGGGAAGCTGGCTGCTCTGCCAACTAGGCCATTGGGTAATGCCCCTTTCTCTATAGAATGAACAATTTGACTGAAAAAATAATTTAGAATAAGTAGATTTTGAGTAGCTTAATACAGTTCCAGAGAAATCTTTTGTTTTTGTTTTTATTTTACATGCATGTTATAATTATAATTAATTTTACTACTGGAATTATGCAGAAATGCACTGAATTATTTGTTCATCAATTAATCTCATTTTATTGGATTTGTCTAACTAATAATGCAATATATGCAAAATCTCCATGTATCTTGAGAATTAACAATGTATGACAAAGGGCTATGTCATTTTACACATTAGATTCTTGGACTGAATGTGACCAGAGCATGTTTCAGTTGATATCCAAATCCTTTATAAAAGTTCAAGTCATTGCCTGGACTTTTTAAGTTAAGATGTAGCTTAAATTAGGCTTTGAACATAGCCATTTTTATCTGTCCATTGTTTGGTAGCAGAGAAAATAGGAAAAGAATAGAAACTTTTAAGGTTTTTTATCTATACGATTATAGAATTGTTGCAAGATTCCATGTTTACTAATTTCTTCTTGTTTTCCCAATTTCTTGGCAACCAAACATAGGATAAAGTATAAGGAAGTAGGAAAAGATTGGCTGAATGAACTTGTATCAATTTTCAGATTTTTCAACAGCTATGAGGAAGCCTAATTGTGCATAATGTATAGTTTATTGCAAATTACAATCACTTGTGAAAGTAGTACTAGCAATTATTGAACTTTTCTTACTATTTCATTGTTATTATTGTATACATGTTTGATTGTTAATGTAGTAACTCTCATGACTTTTTTTTCCCTGATACCCTATGTGGCTAAATAATTTGAACCTTTGAACTAGCTTGTAGTTTGATTCTCTACAACAATTAAAATGTTTTGAACCAATTAAAATAATGGTAAATTACACCGACCTTTCTTGTTAAATGCCTAAATAACAGAGACCTATCTTTAATTTAAAAAATAACACTGACCACCCATGTAGTTTTGGTTTTAGTAACGCTGACGTCCCTATCATAAAGTTCGTCTGTTGATGTCATGATTGAAATTTACTTAAAATTCAATTTTACCCTTGGGTATATTTGTCATTTCAGTCCTTCATGTCAGAGTCAACATTGACATGAAATGCAATATTATTTTTTAAACTATCGACGAGCTTCTTGTTATTACGGAATAGGTCAAATTAATTTACTCTTACAATAGTAGGCTTTATCATTCTACAAGATAGAATTCAAATTAGAATTATGACATTCTCAAACATTTGTGTGCCTAACACGTTCTTTCTCCCTTTCAAACCTCAAGTTGCGGATCGACAAACTGTAAAAGTATCTGACAGACATTTGATGCCTCCAAGGCTCAAAATTCAGAGGCTACCATAAAGTAGTAGTTGAAGAAGAACAACTAGGGCAGACAAATTATGAGGCTATAAGATGAGTAGAGGTATTGTCATGACAGATTAGGACAACAATCACAATACCAACAAATTCCACTAAAGTGTAGACATGAAATGCATATTACACTAAAAGTATAGCTTTTTGTTCATAAAGAGACACCTGTAATCCAAACCATATTGGTGCTATGATCAAATAACTGATTGGAAAAAGAAGAAACTAGTGATATGACAGCAAATACACACTCTGACAATTTTTAGGTCTGCCCAAAACATAGTGAAATGAATTCGAATGGGACAGGGTACACTATTGGAGATGAGACCAACAATACAATATGCGAGACATGGGTTATTATTATTTTTTTTGTGGTTTTGTGGACACTGAAGTGTCACTTATTTTCACATATTTAATGCCATAAATGACATCATAAAACAGCAGATAGAAGTCCCCAGTCAAACTATGGAAATTGAAATGATGAACTGGCTCTTTGTGGGATTGTTTGATGCACAAAGAATGTTATAATGTTGAACAAAACAAATTGTATGGTTCTTCAGACTTCATGGACAACTTTTACTCATCTTTCTAGATAGTCCACTTCCTAAAAATACTTGAGCTGATCAATTACTTGTAAAATCATTGACTTCATAGTAACAGTGTAACGATAAACGCCTCTTAGGTCATATTGGTACTCTTTTCCTAACCTTAGTCTCCAATTCAAATTAACGAAGTTTAAGTCATATAGTAAGTTCATCTATGGTTGCAGTCTCAAGGATCATAAACACCTTTTCTTTGATTTCACATTCACTTCCAGAATTTGGTGTCATTTAGCCTCTAAATGTTCCATACAGTGGTCTTCTGACAGTTTGAATTGCATTATTCAGTGGGATGCTATGCTTTTCCGATCCTGAAGTGGTGATGAAGCTGTGACAACAGTTCCTTGTTTTGGCGCGATTGAAACAATAGATTGTTTTCTATGTAGACAGTCATACAATCCAAGATGGAATTGTGGATTCGAATGGGATTTGTCCAAGCTCTTTTCAAGGTGTTTGCAGCAGACAGACTAATTGTTATCAGTTCTTTGTGTTCCGTTTTCAGTCCAGTTTGGCTGCTTGGAGTCTTGCCTTGAATGTATTGGGTGGAGTTCTTGCAGTGTGAGCTAAAAGGGATATGACTTTTGTTGTGATAGTGAAACTTGCTACTTGTATCAGTGTAAATGGGATGACTGGTTGCTGCATATTGTTCCTATCTCCAGCCCTCATTTTGTCTGGTGCTCCTAATTAAAAACCTTTCAAGGCACTGTTTTTGTGACCACTTGCTATATGAGCATAAATCAATTGGGGTTTTACTCAAATTCTTATATCTTCATCATCATTATCATTTTTGTCTTTATGTGCAGTTCAGTCACATAGATTATCTTTTTTAATTGGAGAATCTATCAAAGAGGATTTGATAAAATTTTACAATGCGCGTATACCTAACACCAACCCACTTCTTTTACTCAAATTTTTATGAAAATTTGATAAAAACTACTTATAAAGTTATAGTAGGTTTGTTATTTTTTTTTATTTTTTTATTTTTTATTTTCATGGAGGTACCTTTCTTATAGCTTTAATATATTGCACATGTTTTTTGGGTTATACCTTACCAACAAAGTTTTTTTAAAAAAGTTGTATTACTTTGTTTGAACATCTAGGT